CTGGGAGGGGAAATCCTGCAAGAATCAAATAGAGAGAAGGATCTGGGGGTTGATATCACACCGAACCTGTCCCCAGAGGCCCACATCAAAAGAATATCATCAGCGGCATATGCTAGACTGGCCAACATAAGAACTGCCTTCAGAAACTTGTGTAAGGAATCTTTCAGAACCCTGTATACCACTTATGTAAGACCAATCCTGGAGTATGCAGCTCCAGCCTGGAGTCCATACCTAGTTAAACACAAGACAAAGTTAGAGAAGATTCAGCGGTATGCCACCAGGCTCGTCCCGGAACTGAGAGGATTGAGCTACGAGGAAAGGCTAAAGGAGCTGAACCTCACATCCCTGGAAAACAGAAGAGTAAGGGGAGACATGATAACCACCTACAAAATTCTCAGGGGAATTGACAGGGTGGACAAAGACAAACTCTTCAGCACGGGTGGGACACGAACAAGGGGACACAGGTGGAAACTTAGTACCCAGATGAGCCACAGAGACGTTAGAAAGAATTTTTTCAGTGTCAGAGTAGTTAATAAATGGAATGCACTAGGAAGTGATGTGGTGGAGGCTGACTCCATACACAGTTTCAAATGTAGGTATGATAGAGCCCAGTAGGCTCAGGAATCTGTACACCAGTTGATTGACAGTTGAGAGGCGGGACCAAAGAGCCAAAGCTCAACCCCCGCAAGCACAATTAGGTGAGTACAATTAGGTGAGTACACACACACACACACACACACACACACTAAGACTCTGTCATGAACTGGACGACAATGAACCACTTTACGGTCAACACCAACTGTTGAACTTCCCCCTAACACAATAAAACTCCAAACTTCACTGTTGTGTAGCAGTGTCTCAACGCACACATATGCATACTAATCACTCACAATAAGAGCGAAAATCCCCATAATTACCTCAGACTCATTAAACCTCAGAGTCCCCACACTTGTGTCTGTATGACGCTCACAGTATGACACCTGTATGTGTCTGTATGACACCTGTATGTGTCTGTATGACACCTGTATGTGTCTGTATGACACCTGTATGTGTCTGTATGACACCTGTATGTGTCTGTATGACACCTATATGTGTCTGTATGACACCTGTATGTGTCTGTATGACACCTGTATGTGTCTGTATGACACCTGTATGTGTCTGTATGACGCTCACAGTATGACACCTGTATGACACCTGTATGTGTCTGTATGACACCTGTATGTGTCTGTATGACACCTGTATGTGTCTGTATGACACCTGTATGTGTCTGTATGACACCTGTATGTGTCTGTATGACACCTGTATGTGTCTGTATGACACCTGTATGTGTCTGTATGACACCTGTATGTGTCTGTATGACACCTGTATGTGTCTGTATGACACCTGTATGTGTCTGTATGACACCTGTATGTGTCTGTATGACACCTGTATGTGTCTGTATGACACCTGTATGTGTCTGTATGACACCTGTATGTGTCTGTATGACACCTGTATGTGTCTGTATGACGCTCACAGTATGACACCTGTATGTGTCTGTATGACACCTGTATGTGTCTGTATGACACCTGTATGTGTCTGTATGACACCTGTCCCGCCATGTTGAAAATGTTTCAATATTTGCAATATTCCGGCAAAGGGAGGGAGGGGAATTATCAGGGGAAAACGTCAAGTTATTACGACTATATAGCACTTGGAAGGGATCTGGATTAGGATTTGGGATGGGACGGGGGGAAGGAATGGTGGTCGGGGATTGAACGCCGACCTGCATGAAGTGAGACCGTCGCTCTACCGTCCAGCGCATACTAGACATCATTGATGTATATACATGTGTGAGCAGAATAAACACTGACTATAAGTAGCCAACAATATCTAAAAAATTATATATCAGTTTATAATTGTTATATTTCTATGTATATTATATAATACTTTAGGCATATTGTTATCTTAGTTATCCCATGTTCTTTTCATCGGCATCTTAGTTATAATAATAAGAATTATACGTTATAGATATATCTATTAAAACATATATAATGTTTTATCTGATCATTAATATCTGTAACTCTATAGCAGAAGCTAGTTCAACTCTCATATTTTTCATAACTTTACGTAATTTATCAATTATATGAGCTACAAGTGTTATCTTGATTTGAAAACGACATGGTGACAAAAGTTAATGACCCACTATAACTGTTGCATAGCCATGGTGACAAGTTAATGACCCACCATAACTGTTGCATAGCCATGGTGACAAGTTAAGGACCCACCATAACTGTTGCATAGCCATGGTGACAAGTTAAGGACCCACCATAACTGTTGCATAGCCATGGTGACACAAGTTAATGACCCACCATAACTGTTGCATAGCCATGGTGACAAAAGTTAATGACCCACCATAACTGTTGCATAGCCATGGTGACAAGTTAATGACCCACCATAACTGTTGCATAGCCATGGTGACAAGTTAATGACCCACCATAACTGTTGCATAGTCATGGTGACAAAAGTTAATGACCCACCATAACTGTTGCATAGCCATGGTGACAAAAGTTAATGACCCACCATAACTGTTGCATAGCCATGGTGACAAAAGTTAATGACCCGCCATAACTGTTGCATAGCCATGGTGACAAAAGTTAAGGACCCACCATAAATGTTGCATAGCCATGGTGACAAGTTAAGGACCCACCATAACTGTTGCATAGCCATGGTGACACAAGTTAATGACCCACCATAACTGTTGCATAGCCATGGTGACACAAGTTAATGACCCACCATAACTGTTGCATAGCCATGGTGACAAGTTAATGACCCACCATAACTGTTGCATAGTCATGGTGACAAAAGTTAATGACCCACCATAACTGTTGCATAGCCATGGTGACAAAAGTTAATGACCCACCATAACTGTTGCATAGCCATGGTGACAAGTTAATGACCCACCATAAATGTTGCATAGCAATATAAGAATGGGAAACAACAAAGACATTACGTGATCAGGCTCGGGGGTAAACAAGATGTGTCTCAGAAAATGCCACCATCCAAGTAATTGGGGCACCATTCCTTTCCCTCCGTCCCATCCCAAATCCTTATCCTGACCCCTTCCAAGTGCTATACAGTCGTAATGGCTTGGCGCTTTCTCCTGATAGTTCCCTTCAGAAAATGACAAGACCTGGCATGGGTGACGTCACGTGACACGGGATGACTGATAAGACAAATAAATCCAATAAAGTCGGGAAAAACAAATAAGTCTTCAGAAACTGAGGTTCCAATATTATTCCTCGGTGCATTTCCTTGTTTAAGTCGTCTTGAAATACCTTACGTAGAACAGTAAATACAAGTCTTAAATATTCTTAATTCAGCCGGTCCTTCTAAGATTTCCCAACGTCAAGAAACTGACGTACTAAAGTGCCCTTTATCCTAACCTACCAGAGGACCCAAAACAGAAAACGGGACTGTATATCAATTTTGCGAGCCGCTATACCATTTTCTAGACAATTTTTTGCCCTTAGAGTATACGTCAAAATGCGACGTTCTATTAAGACAGGTTGCTTAATTATTGCATATGATGTGCTCAATATGCAATAAAATTGTCCAAGCCACGATACTCACAATCTTCTATGATAGGCTGTGGTAGGCTACTATGGAATATATATGGTAGACAAATGTATATAGGATATATTTGCTCTATATCCTTGAGTTAAACGTCCATGCACATCTTTACACACAGAAATCACAATTGCGTGATGCATCAAATGAACATATCCACAAGGGCCGGATTAAGGCAGTGTCTGGGATGCTCTCGGACGCAAGTTCGAATCCTTTTCACGGCCCTTGTGGATTTGTTCATGCGCATCTTTTTCCTGTCACATGACAATACTAAACCCATTTCTCTGGCCCCACTGAGTGTATAGAACCCACTGCTCGAGCTCAATCACCAATCCCAAACTCCAATCACCAATCCCAAACTCCAATCCCAATCCCATTACTCCATAATCAACACAAACACTTCTCTCAAGCTGAAGAAAATGGGACAACATCCATAAGTGTTCACTAGTGTCACATATCCCACGAGTGTGTAACACCCACCACTCAAGTGCTACGATCCACTCGAGAGACTCGAGTGCACTTCACCACCTCAACATGCCTTCCAAATCCCAGTAATCCCCTTAGCTGGCTCTTTGAGAACGGGCGATTTACAAAGGATTACCAATTCGAGTTGATTACAAATCGTGTATTGATTTTTTTATGTACTGATTGGGGGGGGGGATTAAGGAACGATATACTGGCAGCTTGCTATTGTTAACCCGTTATTGTATAGCATACATATACATATACACACACATATACGTACGATATTAACCTGTTTTTGTATAGCATACATGTACGTACGATATTAACCTATTTTTGTATAGCATACATATACGTACGATATGTATCCACATGCACCTGATGTGGATACATATCGTACTGTGTATCATTATCATATTGATAACCTGTGTATCATACGGTGATCAATTTTTCCTGAGAGCAACTTTTGTAAATATTGATAAATTTATTATAGTATGTGTCTGGTGGCAAGGATATCACACAGGTGGGATAACCAGTAACACCATGGCAACACTGGCAATGATAACAAGTAACACCATGGCAACACAGAGATGGGATGTATGTGTGTGTGTTTGGTGTCACATATGTGCTATTAATTAATTGCCCTCTACCTCTCAAGTCCATTGCACATCTTCATGTCCCATTCTCTACCACTTGAGTCCATTCCCCGTATCTTGAAGTCCCTTCCTGTCACTTAACCTAACCTAACCTTCCTGTCACTTAACCTAACCTAACCTTCCTGTCACTTAACCTAACCTAACCTTCCTGTCACTTAACCTAACCTAACCTTCCTGCCATTTAACCTAACCTAACCTTCCTGTCACTTAACCTAACCTAACCTTCCTGCCATTTAATTCTCTGTCCATACTGACTCAGTTTTCTGGTGTGTGTAGGCGGCGACGGAGCCTTCAAGAAAGTGAAGAGTGAGGGCGGAATGTGCACGACCGGGCACTCCCCTACGCCCACGCCCACCACCTGCCCCACGCCCGCACGCCGGAGACACCGTACCACCTTCACACAGGTAGGTCACTACATATTCATATGTGCTTCTGTATTACATACATATTTGCTGGATGTGCACATTTTCTGTGTATATATACATATCATATAGATATATATATTTATATACATATGTTATCAAGTTATCCTTGGTTGGTGGTGGATCAAAAGGATGTGTTATAGGATTTATGTAAATATAATGTAAGATTTGTTCAGGTTTAGGTAAAACTTACGTAAGGTTAGCGTCATCTTTCACAGCTAAACAGGTCTGTGTAATCGCTACCCTGATTGGATAAGTTAATGACATCACTTTAATTAACGCTGTGATTGGTCCTTTAACCTGATGTTAATAATTAACACCTTCAGCAAGAAACATCATCGGTGCTTCCTTTTATCCTATGGATACTCCTGCCTGGCTTGCAACAGCCTAGCTTCTTGCAGGTCGACGTTCGATTCCCAGTGAGCCAAGTGGTTGGGCACTATTCCTTCCTTTCGTCCTGCCCCAACTCCTTGCCCACACATCACTCCTCCTCTTCAGTGAGATTTTGAACCAGAGGAGTTCATTTAATCACCACAAATATGATCGCAGATTGTTCTCTGTGGGCGGAACAAGGAAATGGTGTCGTTTGAAGATCAGCAGTTAGTGTGGGCACTTGGGGAGGTGAGATGTGCTTGAGGCTAAGTGGCTTGTTAGTGGGGAGATAGTTCATGATGTTCTTCACCTCCCTCTCTCCTCACTTTTCTGTGTCTGTCTCTCACTATTTCACTCTTGTGTGTCTGGTCTCTTCTCTCTCACTCCATCACTAGTGCCTTTGGTCTCTCCCTCACTCCCTCACTAGTGCCTTTTGTCTCTCTCCCTCACTCCATCACTAGTGTCTCTGGTCTCTCCCTCACTCCATCACTAGTGTCTCTGGTCTCTCCCTCACTCCATCACTAGTGTCTCTGGTCTCTCCCTCACTCCATCACTAGTGTCTCTGGTCTCTCCCTCACTCCATCACTAGTGCCTTTTGTCTCTCTCCCTCACTCCATCACTAGTGTCTCTGGTCTCTACCTCACTCCATCACTAGTGCCTTTGGTCTCTCCCTCACTCCCTCACTAGTGCCTTTGGTCTCTCCCTCACTCCATCACTAGTGCCTTTGGTCTCTCCCTCACTCCATCACTAGTGTCTCTGGTCTCTCCCTCACTCCATCACTAGTGCCTTTGGTCTCTCCCTCACTCCATCACTAGTGCCTTTGGTCTCTCCCTCACTCCATCACTAGTGCCTTTGGTCTCTCCCTCACTCCATCACTAGTGCCTTTGGTCTCTCCCTCACTCCATCACTAGTGCCTTTGGTCTCTCCCTCACTCCATCACTAGTGTCTCTGGTCTCTCCCTCACTCCATCACTAGTGCCTTTGGTCTCTCCCTCACTCCATCACTAGTGTCTCTGGTCTCTCCCTCACTCCATCCCTCCAGTGCTCCTCCTATCAGTCTTCCTCAAGATCATCTTGGGTGAACCACCCTACACTATCCTTCCCATCCAGTACCTCTCCAACCCCCCTCCCTCCAGTTCCTCCTTCCAGTGTCATGTCCATCTTCTCGTCCTACCGTTCAGTGTGCTTTATCTCCTCCACTTTCCAGTTTCTCCTTCTCTTCAACTCTCCAGAAGAGACACTGGAGAGAGTTCCCGTTCTCCTCAACCTTCCAATGTCACCTCTCCACTCTCCAGAGTCACTTTGCTCTCTTCATCCTCCAATATCGCGTTCTTCTCCTCAGGTTGTAGAGCTATCCTCTCCTCCCCCTGTGAGCAGGTGTTCCTTCCCCCGCCCCAATGACCCGGTTCTCCCCCACAGGAGCAGTTGGCGGAGTTGGAGGCTGCTTTCTCCAAGAGCCACTACCCGGATATCTACTGCCGGGAGGAGCTGGCCAGGAAGACCAAGCTCAACGAGGCCAGGATCCAGGTAAGTCCCCCACATAGTGTTATATCTCTCAGTAAAGCTTCCCATGGGAGGCCTCTGGAACATGACCACGGGATCGAGGAAGGTCCACAAGAATTCTCCAAAACTTATGTCTTCAGTCCGGAAGATTTTCCCGGGAACGCGTCCAAAATGTTTCCAGAAAGGATTACAAAAAATGTGAAATAATTCTGGAAATGGTTTTCAAGTTCTCCCTGTGGGACCACCAAAGACAATACCCCGAGGAAGTGAAGACCCAGACCAAGTTTTAAGACTTATCAAAAGAACATTAGAAAATGTACCAATCTCAACTTTTGCATGCCATAATATTGTTACAAATTAAATTAATTATTGATATGACGATGGATAAATATAATTATTTATTAGTTTTATAGTTCTGTGTTATTTATGGTTGGAGTTTCGTGTATAACTGGCTGCGTGTGACATGCTCGAGACGTGCCCTACCATGCATATTAGGGAGTAGCGAGTTACACAAAAGTTTTGTGTATTTGAATTACACAATTGAATTACAGAATTCAAGTGACATTAGCAAAGAATAAGTGACGATATCGAGGCGGAATATTTGCAGAAGGCGCAACGATATAAACCTTCTGTATTTGTCTATATTTTTATATAAGGTGAGGGGGGGGTTTCAAGCTTTGCCTATACACTTACCTCTGACCTGTCCCCTCGCCTCCCCTCTTGCATTATAGTGACTCCCCTCTCCCACTGTTCACCACATACAGCCCCCGCTTCTGTGCCAGATAAGTCCACTACGGGCTCACCATAGCCCGTGCTACTTGGAATTGTTTCTTCCGAGTAGCTGAATCTGAAATAACGCCATTCTGTTGCTCTGTCACGACCTGGTACTGGTCCAGGACTGACCAGAGCGCCGTCACTTTCATGTCACTTATGTGTGTTGGGTAATTTATAAGATATATTTTAGCTCCATTTTATATTACAACTATGGCAAAAATTACTATAAAAATCCCCATTAATTAGTTCTAGAAAAAAGAAATTGAGGTAAAGTTGAAACGACAGGAAGAAAGAAAAACTATTCTGAAAGAAAAGAAAATTCAAGCGTAAAGAAGGCAATATTTGATAATTAAATGCAGGCAGACCATTACAATATAACAGTATTAGTTCTATGTGGGGCCATTATCATAACCTAATGACCATCGGTCACCCACGAGGGTGCTAATGACAGCGTTATCTACCACTGCCAACTTGTAGGTCGCTCGGCACACGTTATTATTTAACCTTGTTAATGCGTTACTTGAAGGTAAAGCCTTGGTATTAATTCTCTCCTTATTCAAGACCATCCCTAATTACTTATCCAAGAGCGCCCTGTCCCTTTATCCTAGATCACCTCTCTCTCTCTCTCTCTCTCCATTATCCAGGAGCACCCCTTTAACTAACCCAAGAGCAATTATTCCTTTATCCTAGAGGACTCTTCTCTCTTTATCCTAAAGCACCCTTCCCCTTATCCTAGAGCAACATTCCATTCATCGAAGAGCACCCCTAACCCCCATATCCAAGAGTACCCCTACCACTTATCCTTCAACACCCCCCCCAACCCTCATATCGAAGAATATCCCTCCCCCCTTATCCATGAACCCCCCCCCCCCTCCTAACAACCTCCTCCTCGTTTTCTTTCACATTTTTCCATCATTATCCATGGGGATGAAAGTTATAACGCCTCTGCATGTATTTCACCGGCAGCCCCAAAATAAGGCATCTAATGTGGCAAAGAAAATATGCAAAGCGAGGATTCTATTATGCTGCTCCGTTTCTCAGGACAAAATCTTGGGCAAAAAAGCTAAGGCATATATCCTGCTTTTCATAATCGCGTTTGAGTGTCGCGCGGTTTACCATAATCATGTTTTAGAGATCCGCCGAGAAAAATCACCTTTTTGTCCCGCTGGGCTTATTACGTTTGCTCGCGACTGTTGTTATACTTTCAAATGGCGGCAAAACTTGCCAACAAAAATCGAGGCGGGGAATTTTTTTTTTTTTGGTTAAGCACCATTGTGTGGTATGATGTTAAGTAGGTAGGTAGCTCTTGCACGCATGGCGGGGTGGGGGTGGGGGGACAGGGGGGAGATGGAGGCGAAGGAAGGGGGGGGGGGTCACGTGACATAATTGAGAAATTTGAAGCATTTATTTAACTATAAACAAATCCCTTCTTGAGGCAATTTAAGTGGCCAGCCGACGTTAATTAACTGCTTGTTTGTACCTCATGGTCTGATTACGCCAATTAAGTACCACGAGCAGTACGTGTCATTACCATCCCGGTGATGTCATGTCTATATACCGTGATCTCATGCAGCCAATCAGGATTGGAGAATCATACAGACATAAACAATACTGAAAGCGCTAATCATTTTAATCCTTACTGCATCGCAGCAATGTCTCTGGGTGGTGGGAGTGATGTGGTGGGGTACATCGCTGATGTGTGGGGGGGGGGGGGGCTGATGTGTATTGGGGGGGTAGGCCAGAGGGCTGGAATGGGGGGTGAGGTGAGGGCGCCCACGGGAAGGTGGGCCCCGGGCCGCCCCAGTAAAAAAAAATAATGCGTGTGTGTCTACAGAGTTCACGAACGCGAGTTCGATCCAATTCAATTGCAACAATATTTTCTCATCTTGCGGATATCAAGCTAAAGAAAACGGGAGTCAAAAAGAATAGAAATGCACTTCCAAATGAGAATCACATTGAAAAGTAATTAACGCGAGCGCTAAAGCAGTGTTCACCTTGGCATGTTAAATATATAACGAACTGAAATGGAAAATGATCCAAGAAGTGTGAACTAATGAATAAAATCCAGGAGCGGAATATTAAATGAAGGTGTGAAATGTGACACAGATGTGGCTGTGGGATGTGACACATATATGTGGCTGTGGGATGTGACACATATATGTGGCTGTGGGATGTGACACATAGATGTGGCTGTGGGATGTGACACATATGTGACTGTGGGATGTGACACATATGTGACTGTGGGATGTGACACATGTGACGGGTAGATATGGCCGTGAGATGCTTCATACAGCGTCTAAGAGAAACACAGACATAGATGAGAGAGAAACAGACTGACAGACGAGACAGAGACACAGACAGAGACGCAAACAGACACACAGACTGAGATTGTGTCCAAACTACACATCAGAAAATAAAGAAACGACGAAATTCGGTCGTTCTGGACCGTTAACAACTTAATAATGGTCCCGGACGGACCGAAACGTTGTCGATTCTCTTTATTTTCTGATGTGTCGATTGCACATCAGCCACGTAACTGTGAATCATCGTCTGCACACAAACAGACAGACAGAAGGACTGACAGCTATGGGAGAAGACTGAGAGCGAAATTGAAGGAGGCTCACATACAAAAAAATAAGACAACAAAACTGGAACTGAATACGTGTCTCTGAGTAAAGAGACAACAGGAAAAAACTTCCAAGACTAATGGAAATGTGAAAGTTGCGAAGATAGTGAAAAGAGAAAGGAGAAGGAAGAAGAAGGGTGGAATATGAAGGGGAGGAGGAAGAGGACGCGCCAGGGAATGAGGATATGAAGATAGGACATGCAATACAAAATAATGCAATAGATGCTTCTTAAAGGATAACACTTCAGAATGAATGTGATAAATAAGTAATAAATAAGTAAAAATAAATAAGTAAAAACTGTGTCATGGGATGAGAGAAGATGAGAGAGAGAGAGAGAGAGAGAGAGAGAGAGAGAGAGAGAGAGAGAGAGAGAGAGAGAGAAAATGGGATGGAAGAAAGGAGGATGGAGGTAGACCAGGAGAGGAGAAATGAAGAAGGAGGTGACGGAAAGGAGAAGGAGGGAGGAGACAGACAGGGAGGGAAGGGAAGGGGGGGAGGGACAGATCTGGATAAGCAGGCCCCCACCAGCCAGCGTGATTTCCATTTTCTTTCATTTTCCAATTACGCCATTTTCCAGGCCTCGTCGACGCTACCGCGAGAGCGCTCTGTCTCTGGAAATTCATATCGTATTTTGGAGCCGACTATTTTTACCCCTTCCTCGATGTCCTTGTTCCCCCACCTCCCTCCTCACCCTCTATATATATATATATATATATATATATATATATATATATATATATATATATATATATATATATATATATATATATAAAAATAACTGTTTAACTCTAAACTACCCATTAACTGTACAAGGGTATCAGGTGAAAGAAACTCTGCATATGTGTTTCTGCCTCAGCCGGGAATCGAATCCGGATCCGTGGCTGCGAATTCTGAACGCTGTCCGCTGGCCGCTCAGACCCTGTGTGTGTGTGTGTGTGTGTGTGTGTGTGTGTGTGTGTGTGTGTGTGTGTGTGTGTGTGTGTGTGTGTGTGTGTGTGTGTGTGTGTGTGTTGTGTGTGTGTGTGTGTATTTATTATTTATAAAATAAATCAACACATATACGAAAGAAAAAATGTTCTAATACTGACTTCCAGAAGCTTATAAACTTGTGTCATATTAAAAGACTTTAATAATAGAATAGAGAATTAAAATTACCTAAATATAATAAACCCTAATAATAATAATAATAATAATAATAATAATAATAATAATAATAATAAAATACCCATGATGATGTTAGTAAGTTATTTTCAACAATAAAACCACCTTTCTCACCCAGGCTAAACTATAAATAAATGAGTTATATCTCATGATCCGCCATGCTGGGGACACCTCATAACAATAAGTAGATTGATCATTAAACAAATGAACATTACATAAAATGCACAATATTAATCAAGTTATTTACAATTCACAAAAAATATTATGAGAAACAAAACATTAGGAATAGAGACGAATAAAGACGCGAATAGAACACTATAATAAGGATAAATAACTGAATAAAGATGCTAGCATGTTAACGTAAAAATTTAGAGATGAGAAATAATGAGGAATATAATATTTATAACGAAAGAGTGAAAACAACGGTAAAAAATTGATGAAAACGGTCTTGTCAGCAGAAAG